TGTCTGTCTGTCTGTCTGTCTGTCTGTCTGTCTGCCTGTCTGTCTGTCTGATTTTAGTGAAGAAGGAAAGGCACATGGAGAAGGGAACTTTGGATGGTAGTGAAATTTAGCTTTCAAAGTATAACTTAGAGGAATATAAAACCCCAACAAGAATTGGCAGTAATTTGATGGTGTGCTTTGTAGTAAAGATTCAAATTCCAGCCAGGCTGAGCTTGTCAGACAATGAATTTAGCATCAGTAGTCCCTGGTCTTTCATAAGGGCAGGTGCATTGCCTCATTAACCATGAGACTGAGAACTTGGTCCTCACTCATTCTTTGATGCTCTTGTGGGTATGCCAGAAGTTCTCCACAAAGTTCCTACTGTGTGGAAGGTATTTTTGTGGCTTTACCATGATTACAGAGAGAGTATTTCAGGCAGTTCATGCAAAATGATGTATCTCCCTTTACTTGGAGCCATGTAAGCCAGCATGTCTCATCTTGTCATTTTCTCAAGGCTGTAGGACAGATGATAGGTCCTCTCTGTGCATAGTGTGGAGCCTCACCTCATAGAGAATGGTCAAAGGCTTTTGATCTTCTTCTGTTCTCACTGTGTCTAGGGCACAGAGTCCTCTGATATCTGACTGACATTCCTCAAACTAAAGAAAGATGAAGTTCCACCAAGCATGCATTTGAGAAACCAGGCTATGTCATTTACTACACAGCTTATACTACTACTACTACTACAGGGTGCTTGTATCAAGACAGAAAATCATTATCATTTTCCTCACCACAATCTCTCTTTCTGTTCCTGCTGGAAAATCTTGAAAATAATTTGGCAGCCCTCAACAGCTGTGGCTAAATGCTTTCTTTAAAATGTTGTCTTTTCATGCTAATTCTAACACTCCGAAACTGCAACATTGGTTTTAATTCTTCAGTGGCTAATAAGATGCAATAAAGCAAAGAGTCATTATTACTCAAAATCCTAATCAAAAATAAGTGGGACACTCAAATTTAATTAGGTAATCAGAAGTCTTAAAGAGTCTGTATTTGGGGCTGGGGAGACAGCTCCTTTGGTAAAGTGCTTGCTACAAAACCTCAAGACCTGAGTTTGATTGTCACAACTCAAAGGACAAAGTCAGGTATGGTGGCAGCACTGATAGTCTCCTTTCATTTTAACTAGCTATAAAATTCATAGTTTTAGTTGTATTTGTTACTAATGAATTTCATCTTTGAAATAGTTGTATGATTTTTGTTAAATGCTGAAAATTCTTAAAAGAGTATGAAAAGTTCAGGGCACCACAAGATACTTTTGGAAAATATGAGAAAGTAGTTACTGTTCATAAAAGAATATTCTTGGACAAATTAGAGAAAGAAGAAGTTTTAAATCAAAATGATGCAAAGGAAAGCTAAAATCAAAGGGCATAACAGTACAACCACAGCTTTGGCTCCAAGTAAGTAGGATGATACAACCGTCAATGTGCTCTGTGCCTTTTCATCTGGGTTTGCAAACATTTGACCAGAAGTCAGCCTGTTCTAATCCAGTCAGTCCACCTGTATCAGGACAGAGTTGGGGGGAGCCAAAGTTTTCCCTTCCTAGTTCTGTATGTCATAATCCTTTCTCTTTTCTTTCTTTCATTCACCCTTTTCTCTTCCTCTTCCTCCTTCCCCTTCCCTCCCTCTGTGTGTATGTGTTGTGTGCATGTGTTAGGCAAGTACTGCCATTTTGTTGTGATTTTATTAGGTCACCAGAGCCTCTCTCCTGTCAGTGGCAATAGACATAATATTGTTTGTAAATGAGTGACAACTCAGATTTATTATCTTAATTCTCTTGTCAGGATGGGTTGACTCCACTTCACTGTGCTGCACGAAGTGGGCATGACCAAGTGGTGGCGCTGCTGCTGGAACGGGGTGCTCCCTTGCTGGCAAGGACCAAGGTGAGTCATTATGAGTAAGACGGCATCCAAGGACACTTAAGGCATTTTCTATAATCTCTCCTCTTAAAACTAAAGCACCAGTTAAAGTTTTTTACTTATTCTATATGCTAGAAATAAGAAATAATACCAAACTTGCAAAACTATTAAAATGAGCAAATGCATGCATGAAGATATGCTAGATGAATACCTCTAGGTTCCTCCTGTCTTTTAAAGCTATTTTTATTGTAGATTAAAACTTGACTAACCATATTGTATCAGAATAAGAATATTAGCTGGGTGTTGGTGGCACATGCCTTTAAACCCAGCACTCGGGAGGCAGAGGCAGGCAGATCTCTGTGAGTTCGAGGCCAGCCTGGTCTACAAGAGCTAGTTCCAGGACAGCCTCCAAAACCACAGAGAAACCCTGACTAGAAAAACCAAAACAAAAAGAATAAGAAAATTAGATATATTAATATATATGAGACAATTACATTGCATGAGCTAACATATTATATGACTTTCTAAGATGACTCTATGAAACATGTGAACACTAGTAGATCAAGCTTTGAACATATTTAATCTTTTTCTTTTTCATAATAATAGTTAGAATAATTAGTTAATAGTAGAGTTGATTGGCTATATTAGGGACTTATAAAGGTGATAGGAACAGCATACCTTAAGATTAGCCACCTATAAAGAACCACAAAGCAAGCTAAATCAAGCATTCTGTTCTGTATGGCATTATACACTGAACTTTTTTCCCCTCACTTTAAGTGTTCAAGCAAGAAAACCCATTTACATGTGAATAAAAACCACACAGTAAATGAATTGTTTGGAGGTTTTCATTGTTGATATCTGTACACTTACTGTTGCTTGTTTCTCTAATGTTTATCAGAAAATACTATGAAACATAAGTTGACATTTAATCACCCAGCATTATTTAATGGGATATGAAACAATTTTTAGATCCTTAAATATAACAAAAATTCTGATGTGAACCTCTTACATTTTTCTCCAGATTCCACTCCAGTCCCACACCTTAATAATGCTGGTATTCCCTAATGTTAGAAATAGGGCAAGATGAAGAAAACCAAGACACTGGCCTCTCATAAAGTACACACACACACACACACACACACACACACCTGCAGCATCCACAACCGACTCCACTATTAAGTAATAGTGATTGTTCTCATTATTATTACCCCAAAGAGAAAAAGATTAGAGAAGCTCAAAGCTTTATCTTCCAATGTTAATGGTATTGCCTTGATAGATAATTTTGTACATCATAAATATTGAATTGGTGTTTTGAAACAGTTTCTCTGTATAGCCCTGGCCATCCTTAAACTTCCTCTGTAGACTGGTTTGTCCTCCAACTCAGAAATCAGCCTGCCTTTGCCTCCTAAGATTAAAGGCATGTGCCGAGATTAAAGGCATGTGCCTTCATGCCTGGCTCAATTTCTTTTTTAATTGATAATTTCATTGATATCATTTGGAGCGAACCAGTACACACACTTAACATATATAGAGAACTCAGTCATTCTCTAAGATATGTTCCACCAGCCATTAAAAAAAAAAAAAAAAAAAAACTAGCTTCGTACAAGAAATACATAAAGTGAAGTAAGCTATCTGCATTGTTTTCATTATCATTCTGTACTATGAATGTTGCAAAAACATATTTTAAAATATGCAACACTTTAGACTGGGTTAGGCAGAGGTAATGGTGGAGAGCTTGTTGAGGAAGTAGAGTGCAATTTAAACGGAAACAAAATTTCAGTCCAATCATGTTACACCCAAAATTTTAAAATACTTATAAAATTGAGGCCTACATGGTCTTCCAAGAAATTTTCAAGTGACCTTTACCCTTTGGTTAAAATAGATTCATAACCAGCAAGAGTATGGATGATCAAAGTGTGATTTTTGAGATGACTTTCCTGTCTAATCAGGAGTCATTTAAATTTAAGGGTTCAGCATAGAGTGTTGGTAACCGCATGGTGACACCCCTTGAGTCCCACATCCATCTATGTCATGTATGGAGAAAATACAATGTGCCAGGCACTGTTCTGGTTACCCAGGAACTAGCAAGATGAATACTAAACAGAAAGTATCATGAAGAAACTTAGAATCTCCAGGGCAGGAGAGACAGGAGAAGATTATGAAAAGCAGAGCTCTGTGAGGGTAATGGACTTGGAGCAGATGACCTGACGGGGTTGGAGTAGGACCATGCCACTAGCACATGCGTGGCATTGTGTCCCCACTACAGCTCTCAGTTTTGAGTTACCCAGTCTTCCTCCTCAAAGCAACTTCTCCTCATTCTTTGAAAGCTATAGCTCTCAGCAAAATGAATCTTCACCATAATCCATGATTATGAATTCTCAACTGTACTTACTGACTGTAAGGTCTGTGTAGTTCCTGTCTCTAACCTCACATTCTCCAACCACCCCTCCTAGGTCTCAGCTCGCTCACTCTGAGTCTCTAATCCCAGGCAGTTGTACTGTTTCCATCTTCACCCTGGGCCCTTACCTCTGAACAATGAAGTTCCATTTCCATCACTCCCTTGAACAACTCCCTACAGCCTCTGGTGACTAAGTCCATGTCACATTCTTGTACCTGAGTGTGGCCCCAATCACGAAGTCCCTTCAGACTCATTATCACTAACCTTAGTTTAGCCCAGTGTATTGGCTGACAAATTACAGTGCAATTTCCATAGTGACTCATCTTGCTCCCTGCTATCTAACCAAGCGACAATTCTTCTCTATATTGCTTAGACATCTCTTTTTTCTTCATACAACACTGAGAAAAACTGAAGCAAGCAGGAGACAATGTCCACAAACTCCCACTTTCACAGCTATCTAGGTGCATGAATCAGAGCCCGTGGAGCCCGTGTTCTATCCTATTTCTATCACCTGGCACAGCTTCCCAGTCCTTCCTTTTCCAAACGCTTTTCTCATTTGCCTTCTAGGACACGACATTTCTTTGGATTCCTTCTGCATCTCCAGCATCTGCTCCCCAGTCTCTGTGACTATTTCCTCTTTATCTCCCTGTTCTCTGGATGTTACCAATTCTGTGTTAGAGGCCACATTTTGTGTTGGCTCTGTCTCTCCTATTCACGTCCTCTGAAGTTCATCTTTAAACAGTACCTGTACTCTGCTAACACCCATGTGGATATTTCTAGAATTCTACATGTTCATGACAGCTTCTCTTGACTTCTTGGATATTTACTGGGCAGTTCAAAACAAGGTTGTGATACATTGCCTACCCCTAAATATAGCCTTCTCTGAATTTTGTATATTCATTCATGGGCATCTCATTCTTTAAATTTCTCAGATACCTCATACTATGCTGGGCTCCTCCTTTTCTCACTCCAGATTCTGTTACTTTTTCCTTCTATATACATCACTAAATCAGAAATTGTTGAACAGCCTCATTGCCACCATGCGTTGCACTTGGATGGTTGCAAGAGGCCCCTGTTTTCAGTTCTTTTTTCTGCAACCCAGCTATGCTGAACATATTACCCAAGGCAAATCCTGTTGTCTCAGCCCTTCCAACCACGCCTGACCTCTCTCACAAAGTCTCTTATGCCGCTGAACTCCTCTCCTTATTCACCCTCCCAATCTACTTACCTGATGACACATTTGCTTCCTTACTGTTGAGGTCTTCCTTACTATTGAGGTCTTTCAAGTGTGGTCCCAACATAAAGTGCTTGCATTTGTTTTTCTTCTGTCTTATAGAGTATGCACACGACTCTTTCTCCAAATCCTCAGGTATATAGTAATCTTGGATAGCATCTGTTGTCTCTTAGAGATTGTATAACACAACTCCAGGCACGCCTGGCTTTCACAGTCTACATTGAAAAGTTGGGTGTTATTGTAACGAGTCTGACTTTAAATGTGACTTGGTTTTTCTCCCATGAAGTTTTTTAATATCCTTCCTTTGTTCTGAACATTTAGTGCCTTAATTATTATGTGTCACGAGCAGTTTCTTTTCTTGTTCTGTCTGTTTGGTATTCTATATGCTTCTTGTACCTTGATAGGCATATCTTTCTTTAGACTGGAGAAATTTTCTTCTATCATCTTATTAAAATATTTTCTATGCCTTTGTCCTGGTTTTCTTCTTATTCCTACATATGTATTATTTATTTATGGGTTTGGTCTTTTCATGGTGTCCCAGATTTCCTGGGTGGGTTTTTTTTTTTTTTTTTGATCTCACATCTTCTTGGACTGAGATATCCATTTCTTCTACCTTGGCTTCAAGATCTGGAATTCTTAGGGCTGAAGAGTTGGTTCAGAGGTTAAGAACACTGGCTGATCTTCAGAGGTCCTGAATTCTCAGCAACCACACATTGGCTCACAACTATCTATAATGAGATCTTGTGCCCACTACTGGTGTGCAGGCATACATGCAGTCAGAACACTCTATACAAAATAAATAAATAAATCTTTAATAAAAGGTTTTAAAACAAGATCTGGAATTCTCGTTTTCATGGCTTGTAATTTCTGGTGGGGCTTATCTCTGAGGTTTTTGTTTGATATCCTCAAGTTTTCATTTCCAGTTTTATTTCAGTTTGGATTTTCTCTAGTGATTTTATTTTTATTTCTTGAGATGTTTTCATTATTTCATTCAACTGTTTGTGTTTTCAGGGTCTTCATTAAGGCACTTATTCATATATCTTTAAGGTCTTTGAATATATTCCTAATTGTTATTTTGAAGTCCTTGTGCTTCAGTTAAATTACATTTTTTGGGGGGGGATTATTGCTTTTAGAGGGGGTTGTTGTCTTGGTCGTTAATGTTTGTGTTTTTTTGCTGGGATCTAGTCATCTGGTGTAATGATGTTTAAGTTGTTTCTTGGTGTAGATATCTGGTCTTATCTTTGTTGGCTGCATGTTGTGTTTATTAGTTCCTGTTGCCTACTCTGTATCCTAGGCAAGTGTGGTGTGCATGGGGTCCTTGGTAAAGACTGTTTCTGCAGGTTGGTGAGTGACACAAAGGAGTGGAGATTACTAGGAAGAAAGGCTGAGAGGAGCAGCAGGAAAATACTAGAGGGACCTGTGTCCCAGGGAGTAGAGGCAGGGTTGGATGAGGGGCTTCTGCAGGAATAAGTAATTCAGGAGAGTCCTGAAGTGGAAGACAAGAAGGATAGTGAAAATCGCCTGTTACTTGGCGTAGTGTAGCCACTGGTGGTCCCTAGTAGGAAGTGTTTCTGAGGGTGGTGGCTAAAAGGAAATGGAGATATTTTAGAAGAGAAGGATGAAAAGGACAGTTGGAAATTACTGGGGGACCCTGGGTTAAACAAAGATTGAAATGGTGACTAGTTTTACACATAACCTTCAAATGGATAAAGCAGCATCAGTGAATGACAGAAATTTCAGATGAGAATTTACCACTCCAGTCTGAACATTGTCAATGGCCATGTTGTTTTTTCTGTACCTGGACATTATCTTCCCCTCCAGTGCATACTTTCTTATCAACCTGCTCTTGTTTTCAAAGTCCATTTAACATATTTCTAAATATCAAAGCAACAATTCTTAATGCAGTTCATTTCAGAAACAAATAACATCATTTTTAATTCCCTTGAACTCTTCCACCCGAAAACAACCACAATTAGGATTTTCATATATTAGGTTGTGGCTGTTTCTCATTCTTGAAGTTGCCTTTCCTGATGAGAATATTGGGCTGTGAGCCTTTTTTTGTAATTTTTTGCATACATGATTTCTACTTCTTTGAATCGATATCATGGTTACCAAAATAGCTTTTTTTTTTTTTTTTATCAACGAACTATATTTGATGGTACCTGTGTGGCTAGTTAGCACAACAATATTCCAATTTCTTCCTAAAATTTTGTGAGTACTTCCTTGAAGTTTATTTGGCTACCCTTAAAAAAGGGGGTGGTGGTTGGAGATTCGACAAGATGGCTCAGCAGGCTATAAAGCACCTATCAAGCAAAACTTCTAGAACCTATGTAAAGGTGGAAGGAGAGAACCAACTCCACAAAATAGGGAGTTGTTTTTAACTTAGACTGACCATGAAGAATGGCTTACTCTATCTTTTAAGTTTTACTATTGATTGCCTTCAGAGTTAAGGTGAAAGCTGTTTGTGTCTATATTAGTAATCAGAAATCTAGGCTGTCCTCAAGTTTGAGAGCCATGAGGTCATTGATATATGACCTGCACTGTTTTCCTGTTCTTCTAGCACTTACCTGTCTCTTTCCTCCTACTTTAAGGTAAGTCTTGTATTACTATTGGAAAAAAGCATCTCAGAATTTTTCTGAAGCCTGAACCTAAGACATGGTGAATTTTTTCCTATCTGCTTCACCCATGAACACACTTTTCCCTCCTTTACCCAAGTCCTTCTCTGATTATGGGAAAAGAAATGCAAGTAGAGAGATAATCTAATGGAGATTGCTATGTGTAGTATTAGATACAAATGATTTATGCATGCGCCAGCATTTCTATATATCTAATACTATTCTCATAATTTTTAAAACTCAAGTTGAATTGACACTATGAAAAACATGTAATGTCTTTTGCTAAAGATTCTTATGGTTATAAAATTAAATATACCCTTTCCTTCTCTATTTACTTAACATAATCTGTTCTGCATCTGGATATTAAGGAAGAGTTATTTCTCCTGCCTCCAGCTGTGTTGCTGATAAAGATTAACTTTATTAGGGCCCCAAACATGAGAGTAATAAAAACAAAACATGGACTTGGTTTTTCTTTGTTTTGGTGTGCAGAATGGGCTGTCTCCTCTTCACATGGCTGCACAGGGGGACCATGTGGAATGTGTGAAGCACCTGCTACAGCACAAGGCACCTGTAGATGATGTCACCCTGGATTACCTGACTGCCCTTCATGTTGCTGCACATTGTGGTCACTACCGTGTCACCAAACTCCTTCTGGACAAGAGAGCCAACCCGAATGCGAGAGCCCTGGTAAACCTGGCCCAATCCACATTCACCAAATACAGCCTGAGAAAGGAAAATCACATTGATTGGCCAATGGCACATGCACCCATGCATGTTTATAAATCCACACTTAATAGCTGCCAAGCTTGTCACCCCGTGAAAGCTGACAGCCTAATTCATGCTTCCATAGTTTCCTAAGTGGTAGTGAACATGAGCAGATTTAGGAGAACACCAGATTATTATTTCTGAAACCTGTGAGTTACAAACAGTAGGAAACTCTGGGATGGTGAGTGTTTTAAAATAGAAGCTAGATGTTATAAAATAAGAAATAACAGGATGTGGTGGTGCATTCCTTAAATCCCAGCACTCAGGAGGCAAAGGCAGGCTGATCTCTGAATTCGAGGCCAACCTGGTCTAGAGAGCTAGTTCCAGGACAGCCAGGTCTAAAGAGAGAAACCCTGTCTCAGAGGGAAAAAGAAATAACAAAATCAATTCTAGGCACTTCAAAATACTAGCTGGATTTAGGACACAGGTATGAAAAGTTTCATCTTTATGAATCTCCTAGGGAAAACAAAGATTTAAAAATGGTGAATATATTTGACTCTTTAAGAAGGTCTAAGACAGAAGCTTTTGAGAGTTCACTTGGATATTTTCTTTATGGACTGACTACATAACCATGGGCTTGGTGATTCTCAGTGTATTACTGCCCTGCAAAACATTTTGAAGAAAGCATTCCATGGCCTGCTCAAGAGAAAATGTAGGAAGCCATCTCACAGTAGCTTTGTGTCTCCCATGGTCTAATAATATGGAACAAATCTTTCTTGCTTCACTTATAGACTAACCAATTAGTATGTTGGGCAGGTACTAATTTATGCCATTCATTTTCTAATTCTCACTTTAAGATCACATTGCTTTGTTTTCCTATATGTTTACATGATTTATGTCAACTAAAATTCACTTCAGTTTTGGGAGTCTCTTGTTAAAATGATTAAATATTGGGCTAGGGTAGTAGCTGAATTGGTAGAATACTGGCCTAACATCTATGAGATCCTAGGTTTGATCTCCAGCACCACACAGATGACACATGATGGCACATGCCTATAATCTTAGCTTTCAGGAGGTAGCGGTAGGAGGTCATCCTATGGTGCCAGCCTGGGATAAATGAGCTCACACTATCTCAAAAGTCAATCAACCATTTGATCAATAAGTAAAGTAATAAATAAATTAAATTATTAAATATTGAGCATACTAATTTATTTGAAAAATTTCGGTGGAATCCATCTATTACTATTTACTTAGAAAATGATTAAACTTCCAGGGTCATGTTCAAATATGTGAAGAACTGAATTTTCTCATAAGAAGTTGAAAACACTTTTCTTTAGATAGTGAAGAACCAGTTTGTAATCTACGACAGGTGATTAGTTGCATGCATTTTAAAGCCACATGTACTTGTTACTACTTATCTCTGGCTGGTGACATAGTTTATAAACAGGGAACACGACTCAACAAATTAGGTCCACCACTCCACTAAAAAGGATACATTGTCACTGACTAAATGAAACCATGTTTTCCTGAGAACTGGTAACATACCAAAATATCAAATGACAGTCAGTCCCCACTGGGACATTTGAAACTGTTAATTGACAAGTTAGAGATCACTCTGTAAAAGAACAATTATTCAAATAAAAAGACAACAGATATAAAACATAACAATTTAGCATGGGGCTAGGTAAATTTTTATGTGATTTCTCCAATTCCTGAATAGTAACCTAGATTACCTTCCAGAAGCCCCACTTAACTTTAGCTCTCAGAGGTGTCATCTGTCAGGCATCCAGAAGTTCACCATATCTTTCTTGAAAATATTCAGGAATGCAATCATTTCCACCTAAAATAAAATATATCTGGGAAGTTAATTTTTTTATAAAACCAAATATATCTGATTGGTACACATGTTTTAATATAAAACTTAACTTCTTTTATAAATACTGTCAGCCAAATGATTTCTGCTAATTTGAAACTCTCCCTAAGAAAATAATAGCAAAGCTGAAACACTTTTTATAAAGCCATCATATTGCTATTGCTAGCTTTTTGAAGTAGATGAACGATTCTTATGCTCTGAGAAACTGGCCCTCCCTCATCAAAATGTACCTCTGCTCACTCCATCTTTTTCTCCATCACCTGACCGGTCAAGACAGCCTAAAACACTTTAGCCCATCTAATACATAATTGCCCTCCATTTTTTTTCTCCCCTGAAAAGTAAGCTCACATACCTTCCTCTGCTTTTGTCTTCTCTGTATGCACTCACAATGACAGAAGCAAAATTCGCTTCCCAAAAGCACACACACCCCACCACTTCTCATCCCAAATTTCCACCTCTATAGGGTCGGAAGAGACGGTGACATTATGTGACGATGCAACATTATCGCCTGTGATGTGCCAGCATGGAGCTGTGTGAGACCTGTTTCTGCATGTTTTCAACTAACTCGATTGTCTTTTGCACAGAATGGTTTTACTCCACTGCACATTGCCTGCAAGAAAAACCGCATCAAAGTCATGGAACTGCTGGTGAAATATGGGGCTTCAATCCAAGCTATAACAGAGGTAGAAAAGTGTTTCAGCTTCTCACCAAACATTTCCTCTTATGCCTCCCTCTTCCTCTCATCCATCTTCTGTCCTTTTCGCTTGTCTTATTTATCTGAAGAAGCCCCAAAGCCCACGGTGCAGAGGAGTAAAACTACTGTTGCTTTGTTTCGCAGTCTGGCCTCACACCAATACATGTGGCTGCTTTCATGGGCCACTTGAACATTGTCCTCCTTCTGCTGCAGAACGGAGCCTCTCCAGATGTCACTAACATTGTGAGTATGGCTTGGGTCAGAATAACCACAGGGAGAAAGAGTGAGAGAATCAGAGTGGGCGTGTGTGGGCTTGTATGTGTGTGTCATCAGAGCGCCAAGAAGGGCCTCTGAAATAACGTTTTGTGATGTAACGTTTGGAACTTTGCTGAATGCAGAATCAGGTGTTAGAAAACAAACGAATCAGAGTGGGCGTGTGTGGGCTTGTATGTGTGTGTCATCAGAGCGCCGAGAAGGGCCTCTGAAATAACGTTTTGTAATGTAACGTTTGGAACTTTGCTGAATGCAGAATCAGGTGTCAGAAAACAAATGGAAGGTAGGGATCCACACAGCTTAGGCTTCCTGGTGCGGATGGATGAAACATTCATCTAATGCATGTAGTAAAACAGGGTGTGTTTTTAAAACTCCCCGAGGCTGTGTGGTCATACACATCTGCAGTCCCTAGCTGTTGGGAAACTAAGGCAGGTGACTTGTGAGTCTGAGTCAGCCTTCGGTGTGCTTCAGAGAAACACACACCTTTGAAAGTGAATGAACGATGGATGGCAAAATAGTTTTCAGGGCTCACCCTAGTTTGCTTGAATGCATTGTATTCCAGGTAATTTCCATTAAAATGAGCTCCATAATCAATGTTGGCAAAGACTAACCAGATATTGGCCTCAGTGAGGGTGATTGTTTGTGATATCAAAGTATCCTCTATTCTACATTACATTTGCCATGTCCTACTGAGTTTAACTTCCATCTTGTTTATATGTGCAGTGGAGTTTTCTCGAGCCCGAAGTAGTTATCAACAATATTATGAGATGAATGCTGGTCTCTGGGCACCTTTCTTTCTGCCATTAAGTACTGGGTGTTCCAGAATTCTGTCTGGCCTAAACTAGTATTTTCAGCTGATTCATGTGTTTCTCTCATTGTCTTGAACTACCCTTTACAATCTTTCACTGTTTCATTGCAAATAATGATGCAAATTTTCCCCAGGGAAGGAGAACCCACTATATGTGTTTATTCAGATAGTAGACACTCCTGGGACCACAGGGGGATTGAATTTTTTTAAATATTTCGCCCTACATAAACATTAATGGTCATTTATTAAAGTGCTCATACTTGTAGCTGTTGAGTGTATCATGTGCTAATTTGGGGATTAGCTTTCCCCGTTTAAGTTGTGAAGCAGAATGCCAAGGTGCTCTTTCACCTGTGCCCTTCAGACATTCTCATTTCTCTGCTCTTTATGTAGTGTCTGAAGGCTCTGGTGCTGGGACAGAGTCCATAGGGGAAGCCAATTTATTTGATACACTCTTCATATTATTCAAAAGTGAGAGCATAAAACCATTAAAGAATTTCAGGTCTGTATTTAGGTTTCCTTAGTCACAGCATATTGGCCTTAATGTAACATTGCATGAGAATTTTTAATCACCAAGTATGGGAGCCATTTCCTAGTGTGCCAACTTGAGTTTAAACTTTTTTTCTTTTTTGAATGCCTAAAGAAGTCATGGGGCCAGAGAGATGGCACAGTCATTAAAGTGAGTGCCATGTAAGTATGAGGCTCTGAGTTCCATCCCTGTCACTCACTGTAAAAAGTACTGGGTGTTTCTGCAATCCCAGTGCTGGCTTTGGAGACAGAAAAGAGGACCCCTGGGGATTATGACTAGCTAGTCTAGCCAAACTGATGGGCTTCAGGTTGCTGAGAGATCCTACTTCAAAAAAATAGATGGAGAGCAATTGAGGAAGTCATCTGAATCCCTGCCTTATAAACACACACACACACACACACACACACACAGAGAGAGAGAGAGAGAGAGAGAGAGAGAGAGAGAGAGAGAGAGAGAAGGATTCATTGTTTTACTTATTAATCTTTTGCTATCATAAACTCTTATCAAAAGATTAACAGAGACAGATCAGTCATAGGAATTATTTACTCAATATCCAGATTCTCCCCTTTTTATATTATATGACATGGATTTATTAACTCCTACAATTTTTAAATTTTTGTTTAATTTTATTTTGTCTTAACAAAAAACAAACAAAAGAAGAAATTGAACCTGAATATTCTTGCACACAGGACAGTGATTTCAAGAAAAGTACTCCTGTGTGCTGACCCACTAATGCTATTTTCTTTTTATTCTCCCCTATATTTTACCACTTTCCTCATTTGCCTCACAACACCCACAGGAGTTAAAGAAGTAATAGTGATATGTTAAAATATATCATCATATTACCACAATGATATATGCAATTATATTAAATGGGGAGCTTAGCTGAAATTTCTTTTTCTCTTTCCTTTTTGGTTTTTAAAGGCAGAGTTTCTCTATGTAACCCTGGCTGTCTTGAAACTCACTCTGTAGACCAGGCTAGCCTTGAACTCAGAGATATACTTGTCTCTGACCCCTGAGTGCTGGGATTAAAGTTCTGCTCCACCACACCCAGCTGAAATTTCATGTAGTAGAGACCTTTGAAAATCCTTCAAAAAATAATCCACAAACTACCACTTAAGTGATCAATTCCAAAATTTTGTTGCTTCCTTAGCTGTTGTGTGGTCTCAGAAGGGACATGGAGAGATTTAGACCTGCACATAGATTTCTTGTATTCCAATCCTTTCAGGCTTTGGACAAATCTTAGATTTGGCAATGTCTGTGCTAGTCTTTAGCTCCCACATGGCAGTTGTCCTAAATTTCTTCATTGGTTTCATCTGTTTGTCTTTAAATTGTTTCCCTGCAGCCCCCTCCAAACAAGCACTTGGGAACTTCAGTCAACCCACCCCTTCTTAGCAGGATCCTTGGATGTTTTTTGTTTGTTCATTTTATTTTTAAAGCTATATCCTTCAGATAGGAGACAGTGTAGAGCTGCTGGTCAGGACACAGAACTCCCTATTCAATTTTCATTCCAGATAAAACACTGAACTCCTTTGAGTCTAAGTAGATGTCATGCAACCACTAAAACATGGTAAAATAATCACCCGATTGTCTGGAATTAAAATAGAAATGGACACTTGAACTATTTATTTGCTGAATCTGGCAACTCTACATTTAGAGGAATATAACTTTCTCTAGCAGGTGGTGCCTGTGAACTTGTGTGTTCTCGAGACATTAGGACATTGCTACTGGATCTAGAACCTTGGGATTTGATTACAAAGCTGTGTGGACACGGACTGCCTGCTTGCTGTGACAGTGTCAGTCATGTCCCCACCTCCATGCACCCACCCTTGGCACCTCTGTGTTGCTGGCATCGTGTTGCATTGTGAATGCAATTCTGTCTTTTGTGCTTTGATGCTTTCCAACTAGATGCAACCGAAGTGAGAGTCAATGTAGCTGTCTGCGGAGCCACTTTTAAAGCTGTGTAAGAGGGGCATGACTCTTGGTACTCGCTTTGAACACTCACATGCGCATTCTCCTGCCAGTTTCGTTTTTGTCTGAAAATTCATACCCAGTGTAAGATGCACCAAGAACATTTGTAGACACATTTTTTTCCTTATAACTTCCTTTCCCAGAAAACTTATAGGTGAACTTTAACTGCTGACCTGTGTTCTATTATACACCTCTAACATATTCACTGACAATTCATTGTTAGAGTAGAATGGCAAGCACTCAAGGGGTCTTGAGAGCACAGCACAGGACATTAAGAATTTTTATCTTCTTATAACCAATTAGCAGATTCATGGTCAAGTTCCCACTTTATATTATATTTAAAGTCTTTTCTCTACCAGTGTCTAAAGTTAAGTTGTTTAAATAGGGTATCAGGCTATTCCTGACAATCAGGAAACAGAAGGTCCTAAGTAAGGCAATATGCAATATTTGGTGACTTTCTTTTCCTTATATTTCTGCATAAACAATAGGAATGTAAATATAAAAAGGTAATCATAGTTTACAGCAAATGCCAGGAACTCCAGAGACATTAAAATGAGACTTAAACAATATATATATATATATATATATATATATATATATATATATATGCATCACTTCAAATGTGTAGAAGCCAGAGGGTAATTTAATATAGGTGTAAAGTAACAGTTTTTTAAATATTAAGACTAGTATTAGAGAAAATTGTTATATTTTGAAAACTTAATAATAAAGTGGGGCTTAAAATAAACACGTAAATTCAACATTACATAGAAACACATAGAGGCATCTTTGACTTAATTTCTAAAAAGTATTATCTTGCCTTTATTTCTACAAAATTAATGAAATAGCAAATCTTCATCAGACCTAGAAATTAAATTTCTAGTTTTTCTTTTTTTTCTGTAATTGTAAGATACCAGTCTCAGTTATTTAGAGACATGTGAATTACAGAAGAAAAAAGGATAAAACCATAGTTTCCCAAAGAGGAAATCTCTCACCATACATATGGAGACTTAAAGACAAGCTTGACTAATGTCATTTTATAAAACATGTTTCATATACATTTACTTTACAAAGTCAAAATTTGCCATCAGAAAATAAGGCCACCAGAAGACAAGTTAGCTACCTGTAAGAAGAGAACATTCAAGTCAACATCCAGGTCAATGCTTTCTAATGACATTGTTTGACCCAAATTTCCCGTAACTCCCGAAGCAATGGACACCATCATGGTGAGAAAAGGGAACTGTGAGCAATGAACCCCACTTATTTCATGTTAAATCTTTTACATTCAAGGGTATTTTGCTCAAAGAATCAGAAGATGTTCACAGGAGTTTTTCAGAAACATCCCATTCCAACATAGGCAAGTTTGAAGGTGAATTAGATCCTGTGGAATGTGTTCCTCTGCTTGGTTATTGCCAACTTATCCTCTGAAAAGGTTGTGCTGAGTCAACTTGTTTTAGTCTAATATTGTGCTCTAACTATGAGATTACTTGAATGACAACGTCCCTGCTCCCTTTGGTGATAACAGGTTTCCCTATGAGCATAATCTCTTGTCTCTAACCATCTTCTTCATTGCCTCACGATGAGTATTAGACCTTAGTATTACATAGACAACCAAGGAGTGACAAATGAAACTGTTAACAGCTACTACTATCTCTCAGTACCCATCTCCATCACCATCTGTAATCAAATACAATTATTAAAATGATCAGGATAACTACTGGAAAAATTAGATTTATCCTATGATAAGTTGTGGTCTAATTTCACAAAAAAAGACATCAGACATAAGATTTTGTTCAGAAGCAAGGTTTGCAATTTGAGAAGAAATTTATTTATGATATAATTGATGTGATTTATATTTTGCAATGTGTTGACTTGATCTCTGACATCTGGAGTTTCTCATTGAATGGGATCAATGACAGATCATGTAGGTTTGTAGGATGAAAGATCACATCTTCACCCATGTAAGTTACCAAGACTGATCATGTGGTTAAACCATAGAGTAGTCTGGATATTTGGGTAAGTTCACTGGTTTGTCATCGACAGAAAATATTTACAAACATTTGCCCTTCTAAAGATACAGAAGATGCAAAACTATGTTTTTCTGAACTGAACAATTATGCCTCTTTGTAGATCATTTATACACTTGGATATCTTGCTGAATTTCACCAAAAAGGACATCTTTATTCTTTGCTACACAGAGCAGTGGGATTATTTACGATTGGGCAATCTTTGTTTTCTGGCAGCGTGGTGAAACTGCACTTCACATGGCAGCCCGGGCTGGGCAGGTGGAAGTTGTCCGATGTCTCTTGAGGAATGGTGCTCTTGTGGATGCCAGAGCCAGGGGAGGTGCTGACACAGGTGTCCGATGTCTCTTGAGGAATGGTGCTCTTGTGGATGCCAGAGCCAGGGTAGGTGCTAACTCAGTAACATTCTTCTATTGCAGTATGTGACCCCCTTTCTAAGATGGGGTATCTTCTTTAATTCCTTGATTTTGAATGTCCACAGTGTACATATCAATGAACTTTTCATTACTGTGATAAATACTGGAGAAAATAACTTAAAGGAAGGAGAGAATTTTTTGGGCTCACTGGTTTAGGGGTCTCAGGATATGAGTGGATGGCTCTATATTTCTGTGCTTGGTATGAGGATAAATAGCACAGCAAAGCAAAGCTACACACATCACAGTGGCTAGAACGCAAAGAGGGTGCATGCTTTGCTAGTGTGCTTCATCTGGGACCCCAGTCTTCTCACAATTAGAGAAGTTTTACTCCTCATCCATTAGTTAATCATCTCTGGAAATGCTGTCACAAACACTCAAAAGTGTGCTCAACCAATGTCCTATGTGTTTTTCTCAATCTCTCAAATTGACAGTCAATAAGAGTTTCCATAGGATGTTAAATTAAGAGCATCAGGTCAATAGTACTTTAGAAAAAAGACATACTATATAAGTGTATGGAGTGAAAAAACACTGAAGATATAGGAACATTTGAATGGAGTTTGGCTTTATTTAGTAAATTTAGTAAACAAGAAGTATAGACTTGACTTTAGTTTTTATCAGTCTTTAATCTTCAAAAATCACTTACACATTTACCTGTTCTGTAAATTTATAGTTTTGCCTGTACTATATAGTGCCATATATACTAAACATAATTTCTTATTACCCAAGGTAATCAGATTTGCATACTGACTCTTTCCAAGTTACCTAAAATCAAAAATGTCTTAAAAGTTCTGAAGCTTTCCCTGTTTTATTTCTCCCTTTTTGTTATGATGTCTACTTTTCTCTCTACTCTGGTGCTTATATAGTTAAATATTCTGTGTATTTATTATCTCAGAATAATAGGCACTGGAGGTCACCTGATCACAATTGTCTGTTTCAAGTTAGTTTGCTTTTCCTTTCTCTTTTTAAAATGTAATCCCCTTCCCTTTGTGTTGCATTCTTTCTTTCCTAAATGCAGCCATGTTTCCTTGCCCTACTGTATTTTCTATTTCCTTTTCCATATTGTCTAAAAGAAAATGAAAGGTTTTGAAAGTAAAACTATATACAACAAAATAGTTATCAAATAAGAATTATATTTACAATATTCAGTACATTTGTATTTAGCAAATTCAGAGAAAATAGTACATTATCTATCTTTTCCTACTGATCCAAATTTTTATACATAATTTAATTTCTACCAAAACTGTGGAAAAACTATAACTCTATTTAGTCTTTAAGTCCATCAAAGACCCCAGAGGGCTTTAATATTACCTAACAACAGAGACATATGGCTGCCTAGACAGTCACACAAAGTTCCTCTGCAATGTTGGGGCATCCATCTTCCACCTACAGGACTGTAATATCTGGCAGACTTTACAGTGAAATAGGAAATTTGAAGGGCTATCTTGTTTTGTATTGACAAAGTTCGACTGTTGCTTTTGCCTGTGGCCTGCAGAATACCTGACAGACTCTTCTGTGAATCAGGAATTCTGAAGGACTGTCCTGTTTTGTTTTGACAAAGTCCAACAGTCTTTTTCCTGTGTCCTACTTGTCCAGTCTGATTAGCATATGTCAACAGTCAAGGCAAGAACAGTTTCTTGCCTAAATGACTAAGCTTGCCACACTGAAAGCAAACTCCATATTGAGGTTCTTTGATGCCCATCATCCTTTTATAAAGTAATTTGGTGCTTCCAGGAGCAGATATGTCTCATTGTCATGAAAAACCTTAGGTTATTAAACATCTTAAATGCCATATTCTGTTTGAAAATCATCTATCTCTCTAATGTATTCCCATGTAGCCTTTAAAACATACCTAATATGACTACAAGTTTGATTATAGATTAGATACTCCTTTCTTAATTATATACTGCATTTTTAAATGAGCTGCATAAGCACAATACCCTAAACAAAAGTCGAAACTATATGTAGTACAACAAAAATAACTTAAAATTTGTATCAATATACTAAAATCCATGCCAATACAAAATATCCGAGATTAATAATTGTCTTTTTATCCTATACTCCTATATTCCCTTATATGATAACAAACATCCATAACCTACCAAATAACCAACAACCACCCACTGCATCCCTTGGGAATGTGGGTACCCTGTTCTCAGGACTATTTCCTGTTTTCTGTGGATGAAGGCATCTTTAGGAGTCCCTGAGAAAATTGAGATAATGGCCAAGACCTGGGGAAATGAGCTGTAACCTTTGTTGATATATGTTACCTATCAAGATTCAGGAGGTCTTACCCAGTCAACCCTGATCCATATTAACCTGGAAGGAATCCACAGCCTCTTGTTTCACATCAAAACAAAAGCAAAACCTCTTCCCCAAAGCATCTTTGATTTCCATTTGACAAATACATTTTTCAAACTTCTTTTTAAAAGTTAAGATAGTCCTAAAGTGTCTAGGTTGGTTCAATTTATCAGTCCTGTTCGAAAATCCCATGTCTCTTAGCAGCTGTCATTTACTTATCAGCAATCAAAAAATTCAAAATCAACACAATGCTGTATAGGATCCAGACTCCCTGTGTATTTCCCATCTCTACATGGCTTATTCATTTTTATATATTTATGTTGTCATTTTAAACTTTTTTCTATAATTGTCTATACTCTTTTTATTTTCTTTCTTAAGGCTATGGATACCTTTAAACACACTGTAACCTATTTAGAGGTTTTTTTTTTTTTTCCATCTGGACCTCTTTTACTGCCTATCTTTTTGTCTATTTTGACTGCATGAGCCTTTAAACTTCTAAACACCATGGCTAGGACTGCTGCTGTGACTTTAGCATCTGGTTCTGCTCATTTCTCTGTCCAGGAAAGCCAAGCCTAAAGCTTGCGGAGATAGGTGACCAAGAACTACATTCAAACCCCTGGATCTGGAATGCTTGTGCACTGCACTGTGGATTGTTCTGTTGGTACCATTGTGGGCCTTATCTTTGCTTTTAGGTTTGAGCAATGGCAGGATCCTTAGGCTTAATCTGATTTGAAACTTAACTTATTTTGCTCAGCTGCCAGTAAACATGGTTTTGGAGAGCATTATTAGCAGGAATCACATCCACATTTTAAACTTTGGTCCAACTGCTATTCTTTCTGTCTTTTTGTAAAAGCTGGGGTTCAGCAAGTCTCCCTAATTTTGGCTGCCTAGGAGCAAAGTAGACAGTAGTGAAGCAGAGACCTTCACTTCCTGTCTGGGCTGTGACACAGTCGCTTGTGCTTCATGAGAAGGCCTTCTAGGACAAGGTCAGGGGACCAGAGCTCCTCCATGATGTTGTCCACTCTCATGAGTCTTCTGCACTTTCCCAATTCTTTGCCTTGATTTCGGTTAACTTTATCCTGGGGTAGCAGATACAAACTTTCCATTTCAACAAAGAAATAATTGCTCAGACATGAAAAGACCTTACATACCTGTGTAAATACTGAAGGAATTTTATAATAGCAAAATTATATTATTTTCTTTTCCACTTTTGGATGGAAATAAAGCAAAATGATTAAAATTGGGTAAAACGTTATTAACTTTTATTTAAACAGACGAACAAGTGAACAGACAAGCCCTTATCTCTTTAGGGTCTGAGGACCAGGGAACTGTAGTTTAACTACTGGTTCATTAACCAGTATCCCTAACCCAGGAATTACTGCCAGTTAGAGATGGTCAGTTGATAAGAGCTCCAAAGATTACCATTGCCCCCAATCTCCCCCTCCTCTTTAAAATTCACAATTTCCCCATATACATAAAAGAAAACCAACAATTTAAAAAGTTCATAGTTGATATTTCAGTGTGTGGCTTTCTGTACCCACCTCCTTTGGGCTCTGCCAGCAGAGGTCTATGGGAGAACCAAGATGCAGATAGTGTGAGGCTCTTGAAGGGTCCTGACTTGATGCTGATTGCTTTGCTCCCCATTTACTCTTGTGCTCATTCCTGCTCACCTTGTCCTGATCATTTCCTTCTTGGCCATCTTATTGTATCTACCTTTAGTGTCTGTTTTAATAGCTTAATGACCTTGAACAGTTTTTGAGACCTCATTACATTCTTGTTCACTTTATCTGGAAAAAATTGCTGAATAATACAGTTTATGCTTTCTTTTGTTGTTTACCAGGACAAGTCAGACAAGTCATAAATATATCATGCATGAAAAAATGTATAAGTTATAGATTTTTATAGAACTTGAATTCTATTGGTAAAATAATTGTGTTGCTTTTGCTTATTAACCACTTTCTTTTTGAAATTCATGTGATGCTACTTCTTCTCTTCCTACAATTTTTTTTAAAAAAACATAATGTTAAAGTATTGTATTTATTTGGACAGATTTAGTATATTTTTTTCTCTTTTCATTCTTATCACTGGCAGCTTGCCCAGCTTTTCCTTCCGTGCTTTTATGATGACTTACCCTGGGGAAGTTTATAAAGATACACTCTTTTGCATTCCTAAGGGTACTCTCAATTTTATTTTTATAAGAGACAGTGGTTCTTCCTAGTTCTTTTAACCCTGAGAACATTATTTGTGACCACACGTTAGAGTCAGGTGGTCTTCTGAGCCTTGCTGAATGTGTTGTTCTTCCTGCCCCTTCTACTCAGTTCCATCCTCTCTGTTTTTAGAGCAAAAAACACTTGGCAGAGAGTTCACTTCATTTTCATTTTGCCAGAGTTCTATTTCATCTTTGAAGTCCTAGATGTGCATCACAGGCCCATCTGCAGGGCTTCCTGGAACAATCTCTCTTTAAATCATATTACAATGTAGTCTTTATCCGAAGTTCTCCCAGAACAAATTGACCAGCATTTGTGTCCTTGGCTCAGGAGTGAAGTAGGAATAGCATTTTCCAGTTTCCTTGGGTCTTTTCTCTTGATTCGGTTCCCAGAATAAATCCTGCCTCTCCGTAAAAGCTCTTGGAGAAGAATCTAGGTCTTAGGATTTCTGGACTGAATTTCTTTCTCCTTGAAAACCGTGAGTTCACCAATAAGTAAGCACAAGAGAGGGTTGAAGACTTAAGGATTAAGAGATGTTTTTTGGTTGTTCATCAAACAATGACCAAGTTTATGAATGTATTTTCTACTTAAAAATCTAAGGGAGGGGCTAAGTAGTTAAGAGTACTCGATGGTGCCCTTATAGAAGACGGGGTTTGGCTTCCACACCAACTAAGTGACTCATTGGTGCCTGTAACTCCAAATCCAGGGGATCTGATGCCTCTTCTGACTTCCAAAGGAACTGCACATGCATGTTTCCCTTCCATACATGTTGACACTCATACATATAAACAAAGCAATAAATAAAATCTGTTTAAAAATTTAAGGGAGATTTTGTGACCAAATGGATCACTTCTATAACAAATACAAATAAACCATGACAGGGGTAGTAACCATTTTTGTTTTTGAGTAGAGATTCCTAGAGATTCAAAGAAGGTATCATGAAGTATTTGAGAAGTACACATTCCTGCAAGATCGGGTTTGCTGGGACCTAACTGATCTCTTGCCTTGAGTTGTAGGAGGAACAGACACCTTTACATATTGCCTCCCGACTGGGTAAGACAGAGATTGTCCAGCTGCTTCTACAACATATGGCTCATCCAGATGCAGCCACTACAAATGGGTACACACCACTGCACATCTCTGCTCGGGAAGGACAGGTAGATGTGGCCTCTGTCCTCTTGGAAGCAGGAGCAGCACACTCCTTAGCGACCAAGGTAAGGGGGGGTGAGCGGTTAAGAGAATGCAAGTGCCAAGTTAAGGCTTTGCTCAACTGCAGAAGAGTTCCAGGAAGGGAACAATCTCTGTCAGACCTCTGACTTGTTTCTTTCTCAAGTAGTCTAGATTATGATCAAAATGATGGGAAGGGATTGCAAAATTTTTTGTAGCATCTTCAAGGAGTCTTGCATCCCATCTTCTAATTAAAGTGCTAGTTCCTTCTGGTATAGGCATCAAGAAATGTAATGGTCATGATTGTATTACCACGAAGCAAAGGCCACTCTTAATTTCTTTTTTTACTGTAAAATATATTCTCTAGAGGAATAAAAAAGTGGGGAGGGAGATTCTCTAATATGTTGAACTGGCATCACTGATAAAGTAGAAAATACTGTGTTAGACTGGCAATGCTGGGTGACAGAGTTGAGTGGCAGCTCCCTTTGCTCCATCCTGCCTTTCCTAGTGCTAGCTCCGTCACTTCTCATTTGCTATCTCATTTCCTTTGTAGTGTCCAACTGTATCAGTTACTTTTTTGTTGCTAACATAAAATACTATAACCAAAAGCATCTTATATAAGAGTGAGTTTATTTTGGCTTATGGTTCCAGAGGGTAGATGTTTATAATGGGAGAGATGGTGTGGCAATGGGTGGTCAAAGAAGAGACCTGGGTGAGCACATTTTACCAGCACACCAGGAAGGAGAGAAAGTAGGGAAGTAAGGCAAGGCTGTCAACATTCATCTGCTTTCTCCAATGATATACTTCCTCCAGCAAGACTGTACCTATTACAGGTTCCATAGCTACCACAAAGAGTGCCACCAGCGGGGACCAAGTGTTTAGGTGCCTGATCCAATGGGGGCCACTTATTCAAACCACCACACTAACCTTTACCAGCTTTACTTTCCTCCCAGTTATTTGCAGTGTCTAGACAGAACAGGTTTGCACATCAGTTCATGAGTTATATAACACACACACACAAAATAAAAGAGTAATATCTTATCCTGTACTCAAGATCCTGTGGTGGTGCAGGGCTGCTTTTCCTTCTCGTGGATATATTCCACAAGAAATTCACTACGTGGAGACGAGTTACATTGAAGCATGAACACACCCAAAGAGCTAGAGCAAATTAGACTGAGCTAGTGCAGAAGAACAGAAAAACAAGGCAAATAGAGTCCTAGGATACATGAGCTTGTCCCAGGGCAATGTACTTTCCATATGTGCAATAGCAGTTCGATGAATTAAAATGCCATTTCAGGTGACTTTCAATAAGTAGGAGTAAATAGTATGCCTGGGTGGGAAGAAGTTAGTAAGTGTGTAATGAAGTAGTGAATAGTTTGGCCCCTGAGCCCTCAGAAGTGAGATTTGCCCACGAGTTACCATCAGCACAAGCCTACTGGAACATGGCTGCCAAAGATGTTCTGACATGGGCTGGAGAGAGAGCTCAGCAGTTAAGAGCACCTGTTGCTCTTACAGAGGACCTGGCAACCACAAAGAAATGTACAGCCATCTCTAACTCCAGTTCCAGGGATTTTGACACCTTCTACTGGCCTCCGAAGCACCATGTGGTACACACTCATACGTTCAGGCACACACTCCTTTTTTTGGGGGGGTGGATTTTGAGACAAGGTTTCTCTGTGGCTTCGTAGGCTGTCCTGGAACTAGCTCTTGTAGACCAGGCTGGTCTCAAACTCACAGAGATCCCCCTGTCTCTGCCTCCCGAGTGCTAGGATTAAAGGTGTGTGCCACCACTGCCCAGTGGGGCACACACTCTTATACATAAAATAATAATGTATCTTTTAAAATGTTCTGACATGGAAATTGATAATTTTCCAAATGAAGACATCTGAAAAGGTGAATGAATTTTCAAAATTCTTCAAAAAGAAAAAAATCAGAGCTTAGATGCCGAGGAACAAATATACAGTGATAATGGTAACCCAAGAAATTTAACAGCCATTTTTGTGGATGAGGAATAGAATTAATACATGTACAAGTAAAGGAATAGAAAATAACCTTTTGCCTTTCAAGGATTTTTAGGATTGAAAAAATAATCAGTTCAATAGGGTAATAAAATAGAAGCACTTGTTAAACAGAATGGTTTAGTGAGCAAGGCTGGCTGGATGCTGGGTGACTCATCATTGTAACTTTAAGTGTTTATAAATACCAGAGGTACCAGAGGGAGATTATGACTGATGAGATTAACACTGCAAGAAGTGGCCCTGTGACTCGAGAGATGCCCTCTATCCCTGTCATTCTGAAGTGAAAATACTATGCAGTTTTGTCTAATAAGGGTTTCCAACTGTATAAAGGGTGGGCACAACTTCAGCTGCATTGTAAGGATAAGGGGTTTGCTTTTCTTCCTCCATATAATGTTGTGTCAGAGAAATCTACTTCATCCCAAGCTAGCACCATCCAACCCTTCTGTGCATGGAAAACAGAGAGAAGACCCTCAACAGCAGTTGAATTTCTGTGGATGGATGCTAGCTTTAGATTTAATCATCCTACATCCTACGTTTGTGCCACACGGGAAAAGGCCAGAAGATTCACTCTTTTCCAAGAACTACTAAAACCAAATTTTCTTTCTTTTCTAAAAGAAAGAAAAAAATGCAACCTTAATTAAAAATAATTTGTCTTGTGACTCTATGAAAGGGCAGTATTGGTTCTTCGGAGATGAATATTTGAATCACTGGATGATGATTTTGATGGGGACTTAGTTAGGGTTTCTATTGCTGTGGACAAAACACCATGACCAAAAAGCAAGTTGGGGAGGCAAGGGTTTCTTTGGCTTACACTTCCATATTGATGTTCATTAGTGAAAGAAGTCAGGACAGGAACTCAAACTGGGCAGGACCCTGGACGTAGGAGCTGATACAGAAGCCATGAAGGAGTGCTGCTTACTGGCTTTCTCAGCCTGGTCTCTTATAGACCCCAGGACCACCAGCCCAGGGATATGAGAGCGACTGGGCTCTCTCATATCAGTCACGAATTGAGAAAATGCTTTATAGCTGGATCTCATGGAGACATTTCTTCAACGGATGCTCTTTCTTCTCTGATGACTCTAGCTGTGTCACACTGACACACAGACAGCCAGTACAGGGACTTAAATAGTTCTCAGAGCAGAAGTAATTGCTTGGTTGATTTTCTAGATCCTGGTCAGTGTTAGAATTCTCCAACTCCCACTATTGTTCCAGAAAAGCATGTGGCTGAAGCATCTGTCCTGGAGGATGGGTTGACATCATAGTGCCACCAGGACTGAGACTCTATTTATAGCATTCTGCTCATTGAACTGCTGTTGGTTAGGCTCATGGGACAGTGAGTGTTTCCGTACAAAATATATAGGGCAGGCATCTTTTTATTATTAATTAAATGTATTCATTTATTTTACATTTCAACTGCATTTTCCCCTCTCTCCTCTCCTCCAAGTCCCTCCCCACCTCCCCTCTGCACCCTAACAATACATTTCTCCTCTGTTACTGTTTGGAAAGGGGAAGATCTCTCATGGGTATCAATAAAGCATGATTTAACAGGTTTTGGTAGGACTAAGCTCCTCCTCTTGTATTAAGGTTGGGCAAGGCAACCAAGCATGAGAAATTGGTTCCCAAAAGTCAGCCAAAGTGTTAGGGACAGCCTGTGGTCCCACTGCTAGGAGTCCCACAAATAGATCAAGCTACACAACTGTGACATGTATGCAGAGGGTCTAGAATGGTCTCATGTAGGCTCCCTGGATGTTTGTCCAGACTGGGATAGGCATCTTCTAAAAGCACATTGTTGAAGCTTCAGTGTTGTTAACTATCTAGTATTAGTCAGCCGCTGGCACACAAGGATGATAGATGTGACTGGAGACACATGTGACTGGACAGCATGGGGACAAATTTCTGAGTGTTAAAAGGATATTTTTAGGAGTATATATATATATATATATATATATATATATATATCATCTATCTGGCCAGTTTTGCAGAAAATATGCTAAATAATTCAAATAATTATTTTAACTCAAGCTTTTTAAATACTCTATAATTTAAATAAATTTGAAATGAAAAATACTATAAAAGGGACTGTAAGAAATTGAAGGCAGCTGTTCACTTGGTTGTGTTAGTTTTAGAGACAAGATGAAAGATGAGCTTTTTGGTACTTCGTTTTCCATTCACGAATCAGAACAGTATACCAACACCACTGGATATTATGAATCTAAAATCCGTTCATATCAAGTTTCAGTCTCTAAGACTCCAAATACATTTGTTGTTGTTCACTCCATCAAGCCTAGCAAAGGTCCTACCAGTTCTGGTTAAATTGCATTCCTTACCTTTTTACTGATTCATGATTAACAGATATCATGCCATCAGTTTTCACAAATGGAGAACCAATAGTGTTAGCTTAATGGATTATAACAAATTTTTATTTAAGGAACTGAAGTTAAAAAATAAAAACAACCTAATTGTCACATTTCTTTGTCAAACTATAGAAGGGTTTCACTCCCCTGCACGTAGCAGCCAAGTACGGAAGCATGGATGTGGCAAAACTTCTCTTGCAGCGCCGTGCAGCTGCAGACTCAGCAGGGAAGGTAAGAGGTTTCTGTAGTATGTTTTTACCATCCGACTGTTGACTGTTTTTATCACTCATAAGAAATGAAGATGAATGATCCAGGCAAAAGTACACCAAATACACACGTATATGACCCTGACTGTGGCTGTACCCTGCAATTTAGAACCATTATTTTCAGTGCCTCTAATATGAAATCTTATCCTAGAGGGCTCACAGCTGCTCTGTATCAGGAAGAATTTTTGTGACGTATACAGAAACTTAACTTTTGCTTGTCGTGATCAGAAAGCTTCCGTTTGCTAATTTTCAGCGCCAACATTTCCAATCTTAGTTGTTTCTGATATGAAGATTATCATGTATCTGTTTTTCTTCTTTCCATTGGCCACATTAATTAATTAACATTGTAATTAATTGATAGCGCCGTCCATGCATCCTGATAGTTTCAGAGCAGCTAACGCTAATAATGTACTAATGCTGAGATTTAAACACCACCTTTACAGAATGGCCTTACCCCGCTCCATGTTGCTGCTCATTATGACAACCAGAAGGTGGCGCTGCTGCTGCTGGAGAAGGGTGCTTCCCCTCATGCCACTGCCAAGGTGAGGACTACAGCCTAGGATTCCCAGGTGCCATGTAGCTGTAATCTGAGTACACATGGTCCTTGCTTTTAGATAACTTCCTGATATAGTAATAATTTTTTGTGACTTTTAAAAACTATTTCTACCAATTGCTTTGTCTTAAACCTTTCTGCAATTTTTGGAGCTGGGAATTACCAATTGCGAGTGCATATGAGCTTGTGGAGATTAATCTTATTCCTAGCAGTCAGTGTTTTAGATACTGAGAAGTGTAACTTGACAAAGGTGTTGTAGGTTTCTCCTTCTTGCCTATAAAACATAACTTTCATACCCTCGTTCCTTCTAACATCAAAATTTTCACACTGCCCCTAAAAGGACTCTCCTGTCTCTTTGCTTTTTAAGTGTTCATCTGGGTCAACTGAGTTGTGAATACTTTTAAGTGGGTCTCTTGACTACCAATCCCTTCTTGGTGTATATCTTTTACCTATATTCAAACACAGCTCCTACCAAGCCAGGTTACCCATAAACAGGTTATTTTAGTGTATACTGTTTATGAATAGGTTTTTATGTTGAAAATATACACAGATGTTGTGTATTTCAGTAACTCATTTATAAACATATTTAAGATCATATTTTAAAATATTTATCATGATTGGAAAATAATAATGTTACATTAGATTCCTAACAACACAAATCTTACCTCCCTTTGTGTTCCCACCTTTACCTATCACAGAACTTGGCTTATTCTAGGACTTCAACAGCATTTGTTCAGGGAGTGGAGAGAATACTCTAGTTAGAACCATTTGAGTACAAGTGTTATAAAAATACCATAGAAGTTACTCAATTTGATTCTGTGTGGGTAAAGTAATATCTGATGTATAGAATTCTGTGGTGTGAAATCACACGATTCCAGAGCATTATGAACAGATCATAATCAGCTCAGAGCAGGTTGTCTTTTGGCGAGAGAGGACTAGAAATGACCAAAGGGTCAGGAATAACTGAAGGAATGGATGCTTAGCCTGGAAGAGAGAAGACCTAGAGAAATCATTAGACAGAGATGAAATCTACCACCAGGTTCTCAAGGACTATCACATGAAGAGGAGTCCGCCGTACTTTCTTTTCTTGTTTGGCAGAGAAGCTAGTGATGAAGGGACTTTCAGACTTGATGTTTTTATGCCTGTGTCTGTTCTAGAGTGTGATGAGGATATTTTTCATTTGCTTGCAAAGATGCTAAGGTTAGATAGAAACATTTCATAACTAAGAGTTTGAATTAACTGTCTGTCAGCTTACATTTATCTTTTCTGCCTGATTATACTTTATTATTTCCATTGGAGATAAATATGTGAGCACTTAACAGGTGTTCTCTATGTGTGTGATGTGTGTGTGTGATGTGTGTGTGATGTGTGTGTGTGTGTGTGTGTGTGTGTGTGTGTGCGCTTGTGTCATATCCATATTTTTATTTCTGTTGTAGAATGGTTATACTCCTTTACACATTGCTGCCAAGAAGAATCAGATGCAAATAGCTTCCACACTACTCAACTATGGAGCTGAGACTAACACTGTGACGAAGCAAGGGGTCACTCCACTGCATCTGGCCTCACAAGAGGGGCACACAGATATGGTCACCTTGCTTCTGGAAAAAGGAGCCAATATCCACATGTCAACCAAGGTATTGTGTTATAGACTCTGGCTTCAGTCGAGTGTATTGGAGAAATTCAAACAAAAAACCAAGCGAAGATTGTTTGGAACAAAAATGGCATGCATGTATGTGTGCGTGTGTAT